AGGTTTAGGTTTAGGTTTTGGGTTTGGTTTGGGTAAGGTTTTCGCTTTAATTTTACATTTATCGATCACAGCGCGATGTTTTCGTCACGCTGTGATGACGTCACGCTTTTGTCTACCGCCGTTTTGTGGTGGAACCCATCTATACAAGTATAGTCTGAAATGTAACACCACAAACAGTGTATATCATCTGACTGTTTGCTGCAAGGAGGAAAATTGGTGGGAGACAGAGGCAGATTTATTTCCCCTTGTTTTCCTCCCCAAAAGCTAGGTGTATCTTATCCTCCGAAAAATACAGTAATTTCCTCCCTTTCCTTACGATTCATTTCAGAACAAACACAACACAGTAATTAACTTCCTTGACCAAGTTTGAACAATATGGCAATTACATACAACATAATGAGCTAGTTAGTTAAGGCTCATATATCATTCCCTGCTTTGGGTGGATTACCGTTCTGAAGCTACACTTCAGACGCTATGATTAAAATACATACGGTGGACATGCTGTCTTACCCATGTCACAGAAGCCAGCCAAAGCACTGTACATCCCTTTAGGAAATGAAGCCTGTCGTACAAGAAGGCATCGGCTCCCATCGGACACCAATGTAATAACTACCGGAGACATCTAAAAAGGTACAAACACAGCAGGATAATGATTATATTAGCCAGCCAGCACGTGAAGTTGCAATTCAGAGCACAATAACAGAAGTGTGGAATATGGGACCGCAAGAATCATTCACTTACCTTGGACCAAAATAACAACAGCAGGAACACATTAAATTAACCTTGAAGCTATCACTAACTAAAGCAAAAGAGAGAGAGAAAAGATTGATGATCAGAGTAGGGGAGGTACCTGTGCAGTTGGTTAAGCTGTTGGCCCGGAAACCAGGAGACAGTGAGTTCTAGTCCGGCCTTAGGCATGAAAGCCAACTGGGTGAGCTTGGGCCAGTCATTCTCTCATAGCCCAACCCACCTCCCAGGTTTCTGATTGTTGGGAAAATATCAAGAGGTAGGAGTATTAAAATGTATTAAAATATTACCGCGCTTTTCGGAGTATAACACACACCTCTCCCCCAAGTGGATTTTGGGCCTCCCAAACCCTCCACGCATTGCGTTTTTGGCCTTCCTGGCCCCCCAGAAGCACTCTGCAGTGCTCCACATGGGCCGTTTTTGCCACAAACAGGCTCGTTTTTGGGTTCCCAAGCCCTCCATGAATCACGTTTTCACCCTCCCTGGCCCCCAGAAGCAATCTGTAGGCTGAAAATGGGTGCATTTTGGGCAAAAATGGATGCCATTTTGGAGAAAATGGGCTGTGCAGAGCACAGCAGACTGCTTCTGGAGTGCTCCGCGTGGCCCATTTTTGCCAAAAAAAACCAGGCCCATTTTCACCAAAAATGGGCTCATTTATGGGTTTGCAAGCTCTCTGCACGTGGCATTTTTGCCCTCCCCAGCCCCCAGAAGCACTCTTCAGACCAAAAATAGGTGCATTTTTGGCAAAAAAATTGCGTGTTTTTGGTGAAGATAGGCTGTGCAGAGCACTGCAGAGTGCTTCTGGAGGCCTGGGAGGGCAAAAACGCAATGCCCAGAGGCCAAAAACTATTTTTTCTTGTTTTTCTCCTGTAAATTTAGGTGCGTCTTATAGTCCGGTGCATCTTAATAGTCTGAAAAATACGGTACTTTTATTTTAAGTGTTAAAGTATTAAAATGAGTTATTTTAAAAACAAACAAACAAAATCTCATTATATGTTTTACCAAATCTATCCAAAGAGACACAAGTTCTGATCAGAGAGTAGAGGCAGTCCTCAAAGTTCAAAGTTACAATGGATCACCCAAAAAAGTACTTATGTCTCCATTTCAAAGTCCTAATGGCTGCACATACATCCCTACTATGGCCACCTGGTTGTTGGCTCTTAAAGGGACCACATTGCTAGCTAGCTTTGAAAACTACAGGTTGTGAGGGTTACTGTAATTTATTTGAAATAAAAACACATGTAATGTTCTATTTGTAAACCTGCAGCTCTGTAGAACTCGTAGATAGAGAATTTTCTTGCTATTGGGAATCTTTGCTTCAGTACACCAGCAGTCTTGAGTGCCGAGGTGGCGCAGTGGTTAAATGCAGCACTGCAGGCTACTTAGATTTATTACATTTATATGCCGCCCTTTTCCCCGAAGGGGACTCATGGCGGCTCACAATTCAAATCAGGGAAGGGGGTACAGACAGGGAATAAAAAAGACGAACGTAACAATACATAATTTAAAAGCACACAACAGTCATACCATTCGAGGAGGGGGGCAAAGCTCTTTAGCCCCAGGCCTGCTCAGCCAGGTTTTAAGGACTTTGCGGAAGGCCTGGAGGGTGGTGAGGGTTCGAATCTCCATGGGGAGCTCGTTCCAGAGGGTCGGAGCAGCCACAGAGAAGGCTCTCCTCCGGGTAGTCGCCAGTCGGCATTGGCCGGCGGATGGAATTCGGAGGAGGCCTAATCTGTGGGATCTAATCGGTCTATTGGAGGTAATTGGCAGCAGACGGTCTCTCAAGGCTACTTCAGCTGACTGCAGTTCTGCAGTTCGGCTGTTCAAATCTCACCGGCTCAGGGTTGACTCAGCCTTCCATCCTTCCGAGGTGTGTAAAATGAGGACCCGGATTGTTGTTGGGGGCAATATGCTGACTCTGTAAACCGCTTAGAGAGGGCTGAAAGCCCTATGAAGCGGTACATAAGTCTAACTGCTATTGCTAACTGCTATAGTCTCCTGGTTTCAAGGCAACCCTCTCGCTGATCCACTTTTTAGCATCCTGATCATCTGAAACATACATTCATTCTCCTTCATTCCAAAGACCACAATATTGTATAAGCTGGTTTTCAGCTATTGCGAAAGACACAAGGTTGCAGAAATCCCTACATGCTGTTCTTCCATCATCACAGCAGAGAAGAATAATTAAATATACTGGTAGAAAGTTGGCTTGGCAACTTGGCACCTCCCCGTCTTGTCAACCGCTTGTGTGCATGGATTTTTTTCTTGTTTTTCTGCTTATAAACAAGTCAACGCACAGAATAAGAATTAAACTATAAATGGTGGTGGAGGAGGATAGCTAACAATGTCTTTTCTTTTCACGCTGTTATTTGCTCACTGGTAGAAGCACTGACACAGGGAATTCTCTGCATGTTCCCAGTGTTTAGAAGTGGCACATTGGCTTCAAAGTTGCTTTAGACAGATTGGGAAATATAGCCAATAACTTTATTTAAAGTAAAAAAAAATGATTTTCTTTTCTATTCTGCAAGAATCATTCTAAGAGCACCGTATTTTTCGGCATACAAGATGCACCTTTCCCCCCCCAAAAAAGGTGAAAATTTGGGAGTGTCTTATACACCAAATGTAGCCCCACCCACCCCCACCAGAAGCCAAAAACACAAGGCATGGAGGCAGTGATAGTCTGCGGCAATCCCTGCAGCCTGGAACAGCTGATTGGGGATATTCCGGCAGTCCGATCCATCAGCTGTGCTGAATCAGGCTGCAATAAGTGCCTAAGCTGACCTGGCTGGTAAGAGTTTGTGGCAGCAATCACATTGAGGAAGCACAGTAACTGATTCAGCAGGATTCAAAATAATAATAATATACAATACATTACCAAAAGCAGGTTTTCCAAGGTAGCAGTAAATACAAGCAAAACACAAGTAGTTTCACTTAAGACAGGCTTCTTCTTGTCTCCTTGCTCATACAG